TGAAAAGAAGCAGGGGAGCTGATGGATGATTTATTGTTGCCACCAATTTGAAAAGAACCAGTATTCAGGAGATTTTACCCCAGTTCCCAATTTTATAAAGAACTGGCCGATTTGCAATGGAGGTTGCCAATTAGGAACTAAATTTACCATCAAGTTAGGAGGGAGGCTGTTCAATTGCACCTCCTCCTTTATTAAGAAAGTAATAATTTAATAGTAATTACACTGTATATACTGTAGCGTGACTGGAGAGAAGAATGTAGATTTATTTGGTTACTTTTCCCTACGTTTCTGCCACCACGTGAGGTAAGTTGTAATATTGTGAGAAATGGCACTTTGGACACAGAATAGACGGAGCTGAGGCAATCTTCAAATAAAAGTTAACAATTTTATTAAGTACGCAGCGTGTGGTTGCAAGACGTAACTTTTCCTTGTTGCACTTGGAATAATACTTGTAACTTTAACAGTTCATTCTTTCAAGTAACACAGTATCTTTCTGACATAGAGCACTTGTTTCAGACAAAGTTTCCATACAGGGATGTTTCCCTTATTTGATCCTCCCTAGATCAAATACTAAGTAAACTATTCTTTAGCCTCTCCTTAGACTAAAAGAATACCAGCTATGTTTCACCATTCGGCTGCACTAGCCTGAGAAACTTCCAATAGCCAAACCCAGCTTTTCAAAGCCTCAAAATTTTGCTTTACAAGTCACTCCGCCACCTTTCCTTTCCTTCTCTCCCAACCCCTCACTCCTCTGAACCTAAACCTGAACTGCTCACTCCTCTAAACCTAAACCCTAACTGATTTTTAACTGTCGTTTTTTCAAACTCTCCCCTCTAAGCTCCTCCCACTTCACTCTCTCCTGCATCGGTCTCCATGGCAACGCACATGGAGGACTCCTCTGACTTAGGCCGCTCCAGCATTACTGCAGCCAATCTACACACAAACGCAGTTAAAATTATACAATTTATAATCAACTCCTGTACAACAACATCAACAAAAAGGTCACCTAGATCTGCACGTATTATTCGCTGATACATCACACAGTCCTAGACACTTGTTAAGGGTCCAACATGTGATTAAATACAAAAGCTAGCAGAGTGATCTTGTTTGCTTTCTACCAATCTTGTTGTGTTTCTAATAATAATAATAATAATAATAATAATNGGTTCATAGGCCTTATTCTGTCAGATGGACTCTGTACTCTTGGTTATGAATGTCTGCTTGCTAAGATGTTTCTTCAAGGATGGGATGTTGGGTGGAGGAGGACTGTAACCATCCCTTTTGAATAGGATTCATGGATTGATCACTATGTTTTCATGAACCTCTCAATGTTCTCATGGACATCTCAACTATGTTCTCAAGGCTCTCCTGAGAGGGTTTCATCCACTTCTAAGGAAGTCCAATAAGGGAGGTAATGGTGTATGAACATCTATGACAGGTTGATGTTTCCTGAATCTCCACAGCCCCATGTGGTAGGGGACAGTGGACATCTTCTTCTCCAATCGGTTCCCATCTTCAGAACAATCTCCAATTCTCTTCCTCAGGTTCAACACCGGCTCTGGGACGGGCATCATCACAAGCCGAGTGCCCATTGAGCCCGGTAGGTGGCATCAACTGGTGGTCAACCGGAACCGAAGGAGCGGCATGCTTTCTGTGGACGGGGAGCCTCATGTCAATGGCGAGAGCCCAAGTGGCACAGATGGGCTGAATCTGGACACCGATCTCTTCATTGGAGGGGCCCCGGAAGACCAAATAGCTGCGTGAGTATTGGGAAGGGGCAACCCTGGGGTATCCTATATATAGGCAGACACACAGAGGCTACTTAGCATTCCAGCTTTTTGATGAGGGTATTCTGGCCACCGGGGGAGCTGTTGCTTCACCGTCCATTTGTGACACTGATGAAGTACTTCCTCATTCTTTGCATGCTTGCTGGAGATTTTTATGGTGTCGTAAATTAGTTAAATTATCTTCCACGCATACACGGTACCTAAATTTCCTACTTGACAGATGCAACTGTCTTTTGGGCTGCATAGGTTGACAGCAAGCTATTATTTATTTATTTACAGTATTTATATTCTACCCTTTTCACCCCGCAAGGGACTCTGGGTGGATTACAACGTACACATACATGGCAAGCATTCGATGCCAGAGACACACAACATACATAGGCAGACACACAGAGGCTACTTAACATTCCAGTTTTTTGATGAGGGTATTCTGGCCACCGGGGGAGCTGTCGCTTCAC